GTAGGAAAACCTTTTGAGATTGTTAAATGGTTCCCTAAGGTTTCAACAACTGAGCATGTAATGTTTAGAGCAAAATTGGTAGGATGACCTTTTATTGGCGAGCAGTTTGCCATTGTACTGGAGGAGGAATTAGGCCATTTGGTATTGGAGGTGAAATTTGATTACCAACCTACCATTATCCTTTTTGTTAACCCTATTTATAGGTAAAGGGTTTACAACACATTATTCTAAATCTTCTTAAACAATATAAAAAATTTGATATTTTTGTGTCATGAATGTATCGGCTTGTTCTAGGATACTCTAAAATTAATAATAAACAAAAAATTTAGAGTATACTACACAAAACCACATAATTTCACACAAGTAGAGATAATTTTAAAATATATAATATTAATAGTTGGTTCTAGGAACACACGTTTGTCTGCAAAAATAAATAAATAAATAAAAATATTAATTTTTTACAAATAACTCATTGATGTTGAAAAATGTACTCCTAACCGAACTAATGAATATATGAAAATCAAGCCACTGTATTAGTTAATTGTTAGTGAAGTTAAATACCAAAAAAATATATTATGGGTGTCTCATAGAGCCGTTCTAGCAAAAATTTGCTACTTACAAGTCTTATTTTGAGATGTCACCTTTTTTTTTTTTTTTTAAATGTCTTTCTTTGGTCCAATTTAAATTGGGTAGCTTTTTACAGACTTCTACACAATTCAATTTTCAAATATATTATGGTTCATTCGATAAATGATATAGAAATTTAGGAGAAAAAAAAAAAGAAAAAAGAAAAAAGGAAGCAACCATCTAACTCTAATCTTCAAATTGGTGGTTTTATTGCTGTGATATTGAAGGTTCAACTTCTGAAGGGGCAAAGTAGAGCCCATATAATATGTGAGGATTAAAATTAAACAAAAAAAAAAAAAGAAAAGAAAAAAAAGCGAGAGTAAAGAATAAGAACCCAAAGCCCAGGATGAGTGGAATGGAGTGTGAGCCCATTTAACCAGACTGGAATGGGCGCTTCCTGAAACAGCATTCTTGAGTCCGCCAAGTGGCCCAATCTCATAGCCCATTTTAGTTCTGCGGTTGACTCTTGAATCCAGAAGGTATAGGAAGCCCCACAAATTTTCATATTTGAAGCCTGGCAAAAGCCAACTTCCATCATTATTATTATTATTACTATTATTTTTACAAGCTGACATTTTAAAATTTACCAAAAGCACTAACTTATTAACTAATTTTCAATTAGACCAGTTAAAGTCATCCACTTTCACAAGGAATATCCCATAAAGGTCTATCTAGCTTCCATCAAATCATTAAGGATGCAATGCATGAGAATATAGCCTAATATTTTAATTGCTTTTGTTTCTACTTGAATTCTAGAATGTTATTCACATCATGCCTGATTAAGTTTAGGGTTGGAGTGAATGTTAATTTGGGGTCAAACGCTATCTAATCAATCTTCTGATTCTAAATTTGGGTCACATAATAATAATAATAATTATTATTATTATTATTTTTTATATGAAATCCCAATTGTAAAAACAAGTCTTCGTTAAGTTGGATTTATAGTAAATATACCCCCTTATTTTGTACAAAATGGTAGTCTATCTCTATATGTTGATTTTCTCTTGGAACACTGGCATTAAGTATTCAGAGAGTGGCCTGTACCTCAAAACATGTTCATAGATCTTCTCTTTTGCATTATCAGGTTGTACAAAATCTTCTCTTTTGCATTATCAGGTTGTACAAAATCTTCTCTTTTGCATTATCAGGTTGTACTTCTGTGTAGTTCATGAAGTAGCAGTGTCTTCTGAAATCATTTCAGCTAAGCGAGAAACAGAAATATCTCCAAGCATCAATATCCACGGTAAACATCAACTCATAATGCAATCTAGAAGCAGAAATATGTCCAAACATCAATATCCACATTAAAAAGCAACTCATTTAATTCAATTCAATAACATCCATCAGTTTAATGTCATACCATTGCAGTGCAGACACGTTCTCAAGTCTTACGGAATCACAAGTCACGAGAATGTGAAGCTCACTACTGGAGCTACTGAATCTGAGAGTAAGTTTATATGTTCTGCAAAGAATATTATGCATTAAAGCAGAGAGATAAGTTACATATAACACAATGAATTATCTAGAAAATAAAGATTCACATTATTCAGGGAATAAAACAAAACAGTTACTATTCTCTAAATGATATTTAGATAAGGGGACTTCATGGGAGTAAAATATGATGTCATTCTTATGAAACCAACAAAGCTACAAGCAATGAAACCAAAAACAACAAAAGCAACTAAAACTAACTATAAGATTAGTAAGCCTCTGCGGATCAGACAAGTGCGCGTCAAGCCCATGCGAAGGGTTTGGTTACGATATGTCAGATTCCACCAAGTTTACAAATGGAGCCTAATATTATATCTTCCCCGAAGGGTTTGGTCAAGATATGCCAGATTTCACCAAGTTTACAAATGGAGCCTAACCATACATTTCCTCCTATTATATCTTCCAAATCGAAATTTGTACATTACTAAATAAAAAGTAACATTTTACATGTTATTTACTTCCCCTGGTAAGGAATGATTGCAAACACATCAATCAAGTCTGAATCTAAGATCTCATCCACGACTTCGAACCGTGTTAGCAAGTAATAATGATATTTTTTCTCTCTCTATGCCATCTTTCTGTGATACCTAGTATTAAGTGTGGGCATAAAAAACTAACTTGACATTAACTAGGCCTGTACCTTATACAGGGTGATGAAAGAAAATACTAGAAACAAAACTGACCTTTGGCATTATTTTGCACCAAGCAGACTAGAAGCTGCAACCTGAGAGCACACCCTAAAGTGCCTAAAACTACCCGTGGAAAAAGGAAATTTATAAAAGCAGTGAGGAGGGGGAAAAAGGAACAATGAACAACTAATCATAGCCATTGAAAGTCTCATATTTGAACATGAAATCAAACAAAAACTGTTGAACCTTCAATCAATTTCAGGCTTTGCACAATGAGCAATTTTCCCAAAAAAGATCAACTGATGTATAAAATTTACTCATCTATGAGCCAATATCAGCTCCACCAGGGTAATAAGTATTTGAGTTTAAACAATCCTTTTGAAGTAATTCGAGACGACATTATTTAGAAAAATTCAGCTCTTTAATTCTTGTCTTGATATAAAATTTTCTAGTGCCTCCTCACCCTGCATACAAGATTGCAGTAAGAATTTTTCCAGGATGCCAATCTATTATCACAATTGCATTCTCGCCAAATAAAACAAACAAGAGTCATTATGTGATCATATCAGAGTATATATAAAAATAAATAAATAAATGGTAGGTAAATGAAAGATTTGATTTAAACCCCCCACCCTTTCTATAAGCTAACGGCTCAAGTCGAAGCCAAAATAAGTAACTTATACTTTCTTTTGCTACCCTAAAAATTAAGTGACAGTAACAACCAACTTGGACTTTGTTTTGTTCCCTAAACAGGCAACTCATAACCACAAAAATCAAATATCCCACTATAACCCACTGAGCTGCATCCAGACACATTTTAGGTTCCTACCATAACTTAACTGTTATAAAGCAATATCGTATAATTTAGTGACATTTGCATCTTATTGCCAATAACTAAACTTAAACTCCTCCGAAGAGTGTAGTTTTTGGAGGCATGCATTACTTTGGGAAGTTGTAAATCAAAATTATATAGACGGATTAGGTTAGAAAAATATGGTAATTTTAGTAAAATCCCAGAAGTGCAAAATAAAACAAGATGAAAAATTTGAAGCCCTCTAGGACAAGATAGCATCTCTATTGATGTAGAACTGATTGCTGAAGCCGTTTTGCCCGCTGGCAGTCCAAACGGACATGCTGATATATTTTCTGGGCTGATCCCGAAGTGTGCGTTTTTGACCCGACAGGAGAGTTTTTTAACTGGAAACGGCCTAACGAACAAGACTCACCGTTGTACCGTGATGTAGCGTGTTTTTCAGTGAAATACCGTTGTTTAGGGCTTCAAAACGGGATTTTTTTGTCCAAAAGAAACCTGCCGAATATTTCGGGATTTTTGTTCACTGTCTAAACAAACTAGGATTGCGCTAATATTTTATATTTAGTAGTTTTATTTTATTAGGTTTCTTTCTCTATTTTTTTCGAATTTTTAGAGAAACTTCATTTTTAGAGAAACTTTATTTTTTCAGATTATGAGTAGACGCTATTCCAGAAGTATTGGGATTAATTGCAAACAGGATAGTCGAATGGTTCAGGCCTATACGGAGGAATTCAATTGGTTGACGTCTCGGAATGACCTGAGGGAAACTGAGATGTAGCGAGTTGCTCATTATCTGAATGGTTAACGATATGCCATTCACGTACGATAGGGTATCAACACAAATAATTTACACTTTAGCAGAAGCCACGAATGCGACAACCAGGGTAGAGGCCTTTTGGAGAAAGTGAAACCACCGGATATAAATTACTTTGATTCGAGGCGTTTAGCGACGAACAAAGCAAAACAACCCATGTATTCCCAGCCTTCCGTTCCAGTCGTACCTGATTCGGCTAGCACCAGTACTTAGCCAAAGACGACAATTCCTGCAGTCGGCCAGGTCCCATTAAGTGTTATCGATGCGGGCAACCAGGACATTGATCTAATGAATGTCCCTAAAGGCGCTCAATCAATTTAATAAAGCCTGGGGGTGAGGAGGATAGAGATAGAGAAGCTGACGAAGGGTTTCTTTTATACGACAAGGAGGAGGTGATCGGAGAAGATGAGTCCCTATGTCCAAGTACAATTGTTAACCTTCCCTGTAGATTGCTTAGGCTTTGCAATTCACTCAACCAGCTATTTAAGTCCGTTGACGTCAAAAGAGACGTCAACTGACCCAATCCATATGACATGCTAGTCAACCCAAGATAGTTGTCAAGCTCAAGATGTCTAAGGCTGACCAAAATTTTAAAATCTCTTGGCAATTCTTCAAGACACCAACATCAATTGAGTTTTAAAGTCTGCAAATTTTGCAACATGGTTATGGAACTTGGCAAAGTCGTGATATCAGTATTATCACTGAGATCAAGATGCCTTAAATGTTTCATCTTGCTTATGTAACTCGGCACAATCTCGATCCTCGTGGAATGCAAATCCAATACACGCAACCATTTAAAAGTTGAAACAATCATTTCAAAAACTAGGTTATCTGAAACTTCAACCTTTTGAGCCTTCAAAATAAATGTTCGTAACTTGTTAGCTTTGATCAAGTGAGTTGGAATATTCCATGATGAATTTACACTGAAACCAAGTGATACATGACGAGTTCTTTCAGTAACATTTTCTACATTCGAATTCACAATGGAACATCTCGCCCTCACAACCGATTGGGCAAGGTCATGGACAAGATCATGCATTTTGCAACTTATTAGATCACCCCATTCATTCCTTTCAACATCCTGAAAAAGGGACCTCCTCAATAAATTAATAAAATACAAATCACCTACATCCTCCAATTGTTGATTTTCATTCACTGACTGAATGAAACCCTCCGCAATCCACAATTGTATTAATTCTTGTTTGTCAATTTTTTGATCTTTCAAATATAAGGAACAAAATGCAAAGCATCTCTTCAGATACGAAGGAAGGTAATCATAACTGAACTTTAGTATTGGCAAAATAACATCCTCTTCTTCAGCTATTTTTGACAAATCATTATTTTTGAAAGTCAACCATTCAGCAACTGTATCTTTAGAGTATAGTTGGCTTCCTAAAGCCCTTATGGCAAGAGGGACTCCCTTACACTTCTGAACAATTTCCTTGCCAATTGTTACTTGAAATGTAATCTCCAACTCTTTCCCTTGTTTGAATGCCATTTTCTTAAATAAAGAAAAGGAGTCTTCCTCAGACAAACCTTTTAAAAAATATGGTGAATTTGTCCCTATAACATTTGCAACCAACTCAGCACGAGTAGTTACTAAAATCTCACTTCCTCTTGAACCACCCATCAATAGATCTATCAATTTTAACTATTTGTCACGATTCTCATTCCACACATCATCCAACACAAGTAAATATTTCTTTCATCAATTTCTTTACTAAGCTTTTCTTGCAATCTACGCATCAAAAGGTTTTCAATGAGCTTCACATCAAAGACATTAGAGACACACACCCACATCTTAAGTTCAAAATGTTTAGTGACCCTCTCATCATTATATACTAATTGTGCAAGTGCGGTCTTTCCTAGTCCCCCAATTCCAACTATTGCATCAACTGACACATTCTGATCTTGAATGTTGCTTACCAATAAAGGATCTACAATTTTCATTTTATCACCATCCCTCCCAGTAACACTTTCTGCATGAACAAGAGAGTGAGTCTCCTCCCTCTTAGTATTCTCAGCTCGCATCTGAACTATTGGCCGTCCAGTGATGTGAAACTTTTCCCTATCGTTGACAATTGAATCTAGTCTCTCCTTAACGGCCTTAATCTCATGAGCTAACTTACAATTGAACTTAAGCTGGTTAAAGCTTGAGAAGAAATTGCGTACCTTGTTTAGCGTTTTGTTGCGAGTCATAACCTGGTGGTGGAGAACTTGGGTGGAGAAGTCATCAGCATTATGAAGTGCATCATTGAGCTTTTCGAGCCAGTCTGCAATCTCATGGTTTGTGGCTTGCTGCTCCTCTGCATCAACAACTAGAGACCGTGTTTCTGAGTTTGGAAAGTTCATCCTTGGCAGCCCACACAAATCCTATCTCTTGAGAAAACGCTGAACCCAACTTCTTCAGGATTTCAGTCAGAATTGCGTCTGCCATTAATTTGTTTGGAAGAGAAACTCAAATTCAATAGTTTGTTTGTGCAGCTCTGGAACGAAGATAAAGCAGTGAAGAAAAAAGAAATTATTTCCCTTGAGAAAATTGAAAACTAAATGAAAAAGGAATAATTCGCCATACACTTAAAGTAAAGCAAATTTTGCAGACAGAAGCATGTGAAAATCAATTGAAAGCTAAAATAAGGAATAATTCCCTTTGGTCAAAGAAGATAGCTGTTACTGAGAGGCAAAAGATGAACACATATACATACATGTAGTAAGATTATGGTAAGAAGATGGCTGTTCTTAGATGGAATCAAGTTTAGTAACACACACACACACATATATGTGCATGAATAATTCTCCATTCACGCAAAGCAAAGCAAATTCACGGACAGAAGCATGTGAAAATCGATTGAAAGCTAATATAATTCCCCATTCTGTCAAAGAAGATGGTCTGTTACACAGAGGCAAAAGATGAACACATACACATACATGTATTAACATTAAACCCATAATCTGCAAATAATACACTTGTTTGCCCCTGCCCTGGTTATATCTTGTCTAATCCACCAGTTAAACATATGTTGATAGATTACAAATGCAAGCAGAAAAATGAAAAAGAAAGTAATAGTGACCTGAATCAGGACTTGCATTTTGTGGAAGAGGATTCACACATTTCTATTAAAAAATATGTCTTAAGAGTATAAAAAAATAGAGGATAAATGACATTCAAAAATTAACGAAACATCAATACATAGAGCTTTAACTAATAACTAAAAGAAAGCATGTGAAGTAGTTTTATGATCATCAAAATTAGAAAAGGTACCTCCCTTGTCAACATAATCATTTTAATAGAAAGCTTTGGAATGTGAGAAATCTTAGAGCAATCTTTTCATGTTTCTTTACGGCATCTATCATATAGCACATAAAATATCTCCCAAAGCAAATTGAAATGCAAGTGAAAGCTGCCTATTCAACCACATTATGGAAGATCAGTCCCAAATAAAACTCTTTTCACAAAGTCCAGTTCAAATAATGTCCATTCCAAAGCCCTGAAACTTCAAAATATAAATTCTAAACTACATCACAAAACCCTAGTCCAACGTACAAAGCATAAGAGTTTCAAAAGTCTTGGTACCTTGAAAATATTAGTAGTGTGCCTTCAAGCAATGTCCTCATGCATATGTTCCAGAGGTTCCTGTACCGCTCACTGCGTTTATAACCAGATTATGAGAATGTATAGAGAATACAAATCCAGGTCCACAATGTAGTTTTTGTGATCATTTCACTTCTTGCTTCCCATTGAAGAATCTTTTACAAGTAAATAGTAAATGTTGGCCATAAACTAATCAGATTTCAGATCAAATGGTTTGCACTGGGAGGTGAAGCGTTAGGTTCAAAAAGGTCCAATGTTTGGGAAACAGGTCTGAAGGTGCTGTTAAAATGATTTAACGTCAAAAGGTGTGATGTTTTCACCAATCAAGCATGTAATGATTTGTAAATGATTTGGTGTTTGTAGAGGAAATATTGTTATTGAAGTTGGTTTTCAGAAAAATGCTCTTCATCAATTCAGCCAAAAGTCTCGCCTTTGTGTCCCAACGCTGATACTATCCGGTAGAAATCAACTTCAAAGAAGAATCCTTACCATGTTTCCACATTTTGCAAATTCATGTCTAAAAGAGCTGCAGATACATGAGCTTGCCGGAGATCAAATGAGCTTGGGAACAAGCAGACATCAAGCTCACCTATATATATATATATATATATATATATATATATATATATATTCATGGGGTTTTAGATTTCTCGAATCCATTTCAATTAATAATTTCACAGCTTCGTTAGGATCACAGTTGTGTGTGTACCCAAATATCAAAGCCGACCAAACAAAAACCTGGCCATCGCCATGTCATCAGCCTTGGCACAGCCGTCGATCATCACCGTTAAAAAGACCAACTCATTCTTCTCAGCTAGCTATTTCATCAAACAGCTTCCTAGCACTCCTACGTTATTAAAAAGTGCATTCGGCTGGGCCAGTCCTAAAATGAAAGCAATGTTGCGGATATTTCTGTTTCTATTTTTGGTCTCTACTTATTTATTTCATTATTATCACTGTTTTCTATATATATATATATATATATATATATATTTTTTTTTTTTTGGGAGAAACTGGACATTTGACTACAAAATTGAGGTCCCATTAATGGTGTGAAAAGAAACTGGACATTTGACAATTTGTACATATTTGCATCTCATTTATGATAAAGCTAAAGAAATAAACATCCCTGGATATTTATGTCTTTAACAACTTTCTAATTTTATTCTTGTCTTCTTTTTTTTTCCTCCTAATTTTGTGACAGGTTTATGATAGTGGAACAACATTTTGATCTCAGCACAGGAGGTGGCATTGAGACTATTCTTGTTCCTCTTCTTCCTCTACTGAATGAATGTTGTGTTTGAGCTAGTTGTTTTAGTTTACTTGTTTCGAATATTGACTAAAAATAATCTGTTTGCTTTCTTTGAAAATTATGTTAAGAGAACTATAAAAATTAGAGTAAAATACAAAAGGAAATTTTTAATTTTGTCCAGATTTGCAAATAATCTCCTTAGAGTATATTTTGTGTATAATCCCTAAACTATCACATTTTGTTGCAAAATACCCAATGCCTAGACTATTTTTTATTAAATGACCATAGTGTTCTTTCTTATTAAATTGCACTTAATCTATGTTTCTTATTGAAATAAATTATTAAATTTCATAAATTTACCTTTAATTTTAAAAATTAATTTACATAAATTTACCCATAATGAGAGCATTTCCTTATTTCTTGTGCAGTAACCCGAAGAATGGAAACTATTGGATGCTTGCAATAACCCTAAGGATCTTGTTGTATATTAAATGGGCAGTATGGTATGAGAACTTTCAAGTAATGAATAATGACAACTCACAATCTCAAGCTCTTGTTCATTTTAGTAATGCCTTGTTGCAGTTTGAAAAGTCTAGCTTCATTACCATTTTTTTTTTCATTCGATGCACTCAACATATTTCTAAATTTTGTTATGTTATAGAATCAGGACCTGGGCAGATACCGGAAATCTAGATATAAGGCTTTCCTATTAGGACAGGTTGTATGTAAATTTCATAAAAAACTGAATTTTCTCCTTTCCTTATGTATTCTATTTTTTCCCTTGTTTCTTTAATCCTTGTATTCTATCTATTTAAATTAATTTCATCCAAAAAAATTTCACTCTCTTTATATATATATATAAACTCAAAAGCATTAACTTACATGTATGTAAATTATATTGCAAATATATGTTATGGTGTATAATACTACAATGTGCCTGAATAAAGCTTTGATCCATCTTGTGTTCAAGCAATGGGAGACTGAGGTATATTAACCAGAGTACATGTTCAAGTATCATATATATATATATATATAGACACACACACACACACACACGTGTATATATAGTTCCATTAATGACCCTCCTGAAAACCCAGAAAAAACACTTTATAAGGCTCATTCTCATCGTCTACAAGCTGTACCAAAACTGATTGATGCGTGCCAAATTTAGAATTTGCTGGAACAGACTTCTATTACAAATTGCATTAAAAAAAAAAAATTCATGTGTTAAAATGCTATAAAGACGAAACAAAATTATGAAAATAGTACAAACTTGAAATATGAATTTGATCTCTACAGTAACGATATCTAAGTTATAGCCTTCTTATATCTTTAATTGGTGTTGTATTGAGCTCAAAAAATTAACATGAATACAGGAGCACACCCTCAGAAAAGGAAAAGGAAAACAAAAACAATACTAAAAACAAGGCCTAATGAAAAAGCCATTTCCGGTACAAAAACAAAAAACCAAACTCAACTCTAAGCAATCAGACAAGACTAGAGTTGATATTTCATATTTGAATTGTATATTTTTGATAACACAAACTTCCATGAAGGCAGATCTAGCCACTACCTCCAGAAGTAAAACTATTAGAACCATGGAGTCTATTATTCCTTTCTCTCCAAATATACCATACCCCAGCAGCAAAAAGACTTTGAAGTCTTTTGGAATTCTGATTATCCAACCAAATGAAGAGATGAGGTAAGATCCTGCAACTGCTGCAGCTCCCACCCTAAAACACCCCCTAACCACCTCCAAACCCCCTGTGAAAATGGACAGGAGACAAAAATGTGGTCAGTAGTATCAATATTCTGTTGGCAAAGTGTGCACCTTGCTGCTATAACAACTTTTCTTCTCTGCAAATTCGCCATAGAAGGCAATCTATCAAGTAAAACCAACACAGCTGTAACAGACCATCTGGGCCGTGCCTTACCCCAACGTATTTTGTGCCAAGGTACTTCAGTAGCAGATATCCTAATACCAGTCCAAGCTGTTTTGAATGAGAAACGTCCCTCATCTTATCCTCCACCCCATTGATCACTACATTCTGCAGAAACAATCTGACTGGAGTCAAAATCTCACTTCGTAAATTGTGATTATCCCAAACCCCATTCTGAATCAAAGAACTGACAGTAGCATCTCTGTGTAGCTGTAAGCTCCGAACCACTCTATGACCAAACACACCACTGAACAGTTGACCATTACACCAAGGATCCTTAAATAACATTGTATGCTGTCCATCCCCAATCTGGAACTGAACATGTTGTTGCATCACATCTCTTGTTGTCACACTTTTTCAGTCCTTGTTATTGCCTCCAAATTACGAAGGTACGATGACTGGTGAAACAATGCTTTCCATAAAATTCTCTGCATCGTCAACTTTAATACAAGTAATAAAATTCTCTGAATCTTTAACATAATATGATTCAGGAAGACCAAGGCTATGGATCAGTTGAGGAAAATCATAGCAAATTCTTACAGAATTATGTGTATTTCTCTCTACATTAGATACAAGCAAGGAATGATTTACCAGAGAGAGAAGATTATCATTGTTTGAGAAATCCAAAGGCTTCACTTAATACTTTGGAATGGCAAAGCCAAGATTAGTCCAAGACTCTCTCTTGCCGTATTCCTTCATCACCCAAAATTCAGAAGAGCAGTTCCACTCCCCCCTAATAGTGACACACACACAAAGACATCCTCCGACAACCGTAACCAAGTAAGCTTCTATATATCGTGTTCCAAATTCTGGTAGAATAAAAACTTGAAACTTTTCGTCCGCTAAATTAAGAGAAACTATCTTACTCATGTCCTCACTTAACCAATGGAGAGCACCATTCAGAAGTGCTGCAGGTGCAGAGCACGTAACATGGTAAGGGATGTCTTGTATTCTCCTCCAGGAATTTGTTTTTCATGTATACAAAGTGGTTATACATGTTTTTCCAACATAGTATGGGATGTGCACAACCTTATAGTCATCAGTTAACGCATCATAGCCAAACCCATAAGAACCACCTGGTTCACATTTGAATGGTGGGTGTAATCTTTTGACTTTTCTAGTTGAAGGATTCACCAGGTGAAGTTGCTTTTCTGCAGAAGTGTAGGAATAAGTTGAATATAATATCAATCCGTCACAACAACCCAAGAACCTGCCCCGTCGGCACACAAAATCAAGTGGAGGATAATCAACTTTTCCACTCGGCCACATTGGGTCAACAATTTCGCCTGAAAATACAACGATGGTCGCCCTTTCTTCAGAGACACGGGAAAAAACAAACTGTTTTTCGTTTTTGTTTTTGTTGCACTCATAGGATCGATTTAGTTGCATCTTCGCAAAATATGGATCATTGAGCAAAGCTATCCAAGACTTTGACACACACTCGAAACGTACAAGGGACTTGACAGGTAGCCGTGAGAGTATGTCCATGATGACATCATTGGGTAGGGACTTGATGAATGATGAGTACTCTTCTCTTCTTTCTACGATCTCCATCGTCTTCCTCCCTCGGCCTACTTGGGTTTAATTAACGATTATATATTAGTATGCCAAAGTTTTTTTTTTTTTTTTTCTCTTGTAAAGCAATGTAAGGATTTAAATTTTTAATTGGTAAAAAACGGACTGCATGGAAAAAAAAAAAGAGGGAGGGGGGGGGGAGGCAAGCACCAAACATATATGTCAACCTCATCACGTCCAAAAAAAAATTTTAGAGTTACAATGTCTCAGCCCAAAAAATTTTTATTACCTTATATATTGTTGCCTTACTAAATTTTTATTTCTTTATATTATTAAACCCGAACCAATAGCCCCCAAAGTTTTTATTCTCTTATTACTTATATTAGAGCATCTACAATTGTTTTGTGTGTGTGTGTGTGTGTGTGTATATTTGTACATCTGATGTATGATAATAGATTTATACAAAAAATTTGAATTATTTATTTTTAGCTCTAGCGGCTGTTTTATACCTTTTGTTTAAAAATATATCGTCCAATAGTAACCAATCAAGTATCATGTCAGGACCCACATAACTTTTACAAACCTACTTAATATAGGCTTCATTCTTTAATGGAATGAGAAAGAGTGAGGAGAAAGGAAATATGTTGATGTGGCTATATAAAAAAGTTTTGTTACAGATTGACTGGAGATACTCTTACTATCACATTTTGAAAATTTTATTTCTTTAGAATCAACAAATTTTCTTTGAATCAAACTTACTTGACCCCGAATTGGCGAGAACTTGAACCTCGATCAACTTATTGATGAGCTAAATCCACTTGCACAACATTACCTTTTCCGTTCACACCTTTGCCCAAGCAATTTGGGATAAAAAAATAAAATAAAATGTTTCTTTACATGGTTATATTAAGCCAAAAAAAATTTCACTATGTGGTTTTACCAAGAAAATATTTCCTCCGAATCAGTGGATTTCAAAAACTCTATTACTTTATTTACATATCAATTATTCAGGGCTGGCCCTGAGATTCCAAATATTTTGAGAGGCCCTTGACGAACTTTCAAATGTGAGGCCCTTAAGTTTCACATGCGCAAAAAAAAATTATAAGAGTGCGAAATTTTCACACGATGTTTTCAAAATTCTATAGCTAATATAATTGCGCGCTTGTGCATTGTGCATAAGACAACTACCTAATAACTATAAATTTATCACCACCAACAAATAATTGTGCGTCTGTACAGTGTGCATGAGACAACTAACTAATAACTATAAATCTATCGCCACCAATAAATAATTGTGCGCCTGTGCAGTGTGCTTAAAATAACTAACTAATAACTATAAATTTTTATCACCACCAATAAATAATTGTGCGCCTGTGCAGTTTGCAAAAGACAACTAACTAATAACTATAAATCTATCATCACCAATAAATAATTGTGCGCATGTGCAATTTGCATAAGAAAGCTAACTAATAACAATAAATCTATCAATTAAAGAGTGCGAAATTTTCACAGGCACAAAATAAAAAATGAAGAGAAAAACCGCCGATTCTTTTACATTCATTGTTTATATAGCTACTAAAATTTGATGATTACAGATGACAAAAAAATGTGAAGATGAGGTGACTTTATATATTATAGGAGGCTGAACTTGTAGTACTGAAGTAGTGGGACTCTTAGGTTATATGTGGCATTCACTATCAAATATAGTTTTGTCTTTCACTCGTTGTATTAACTACACTACACTTTGTGTTTGTGTTTTTTTTTGGGAGCCAATTACCCCTTTCTTGATTTCAGGATGAGGAATCAACTTTAGTAGCAGTGATTGGTTGATCATTGCTACAGAAGGCCTGTGCAAATTAATAGAAAAACCATTAACTTTTGTTTTGTTAAAGCCTGCTCTTGGTTTCCATGTGTTTGTACATCTGATGGCAAGTGCTTTGACAGTATTATTAACTGAAATTCTAACTGAGCCAACTTCAAATAACATCAATAATGGTGGTATGTATCTTCATATAAAAATAAAATATATAAAAAAAACCCTTAATTTGGCACTTTTAAGTATGAGCATAATTTAGAGATCGAAAAAGTTAATTATTACCTCAAAGGTTCAACCCACTAGAAGGGATCCTTAATTTTCGGAGGATTGAATGTGAAAATGCAAAAAATTATGAGGAAAAGGGGTATGGTTGCTGCAGTTGTGAGATTGGAGTGGAATTAGGGAGAGGAAAAAAAAAAAACCTGCCATAGATTATGGACTCGATCGCCATGAAAGACACATGTAGAAAGGCACACATTTATTAAAATACTAAGAGAAGCATAATATATTCATTCAGCTTTTGATGGCCATCACACACAGTGACACACACACACAAAAAAAAAACCAACCTAGTTTGGAAGCTACATTTCACTATTGGAACAAAGGTAAAGGCCCGAATCAAACGAACCAAAGTTAGAACAAATCAAATGATGAGACGAGAAAGAAAGAAACATATATAACAGATCGATTCATTCAAAAGGAGAGAGAGGATGAACATACCTTGTCACCTGAGGCGATAGCGGAGGATGCGCCCTGCTGAGTGCCGAAGCAGATTGTGTCGTCTGAAACTTGCCCTAACTTTTTTTTTTTTATTTATTTTTTTATTTTTTCATCCCCTATGGGCCTCAAAATTTGAGGCCCAAGGCGACCAAGACTAATCCTAACTTAATTTTTTTTTTCCCATCCCCTATGGGCCTCAAAATTTGAGGCCCTCTAAAATTTGAGGCCCAAGGCAACTGCTTGGGCCGGCCCTGGAATTTGTTTTTCGTGTATACAAGTGATTATACATGTTTTTCCAACATATAATATGGGATAAAAAAATGAAAAGAAAAAAAAAAATTATTTGGTAAAAAACGGACTGCATGAAAAATGGAAAAAAAAAAAAAAAATTTAAGCACCAAGCATATATGCCAACCTAATCAAGTCCAAAAAAAATTTTAGGTTTGTCGCCTAAGCCGCCCCCAAAAGTTTTTATTACCTTATATATTGTTGCCTTATTAAATTTTTATTTCTATATATTATTAAACCCCACCAACAGCCCCCAAAGTTTTTATTCCCTTATATTACTGTCAGTTTTTGAAAATTTTATTTCTTTATTTCTTTAGAATTAACAAATTTTCTTTAAATCAAACTTACTTGACCCCAAATTAGCGAGAACTTCAACCTTCAACTTATAGATGAGCTAATCCACTTGTACGACATTACCTTTTCTGTTCACACTGTTCACACCTTTGCCTGAGCAATTTGGGATAAAAAAATAAAATAAAATATTTCTTTACACGGTTATATTAACTTATTAAGCCAACAATATTTCACTTATATGTGGTTTTACCAAGAAAATATTTCCTCTGAATCAGTGGATTTCGATACTCTATTACTTTATTTACATATACAGAATGTGCAAACAATAAACTGTTTGGTTCCTTCGAAAATGATTTTTAGAATGCCGGGAGTAGTTTTATTCTTGATGCCTTTTTTTTTACAGGTTTATTATTTATATGATCATGGAACAACAGTTGGTCCAAGATAGGAGCTGGCATTGAGAGGATTCTTTATTTTCTTCCTCTAACAAGGGGCGTCCGAATTTCAATTTAGGGGGCATAATGCAAAAAAATAAATAAATAAATAAATTTAGGTAATAGAAGAAGAAGAAAAAAAAAAGGAAAGAAGAATGACATAGACTTTAGAAAGAAAAATAATTAGAGAAGAAGGAAAATTTTACTTAAAAAAAAAAAAAAAAGGTAAATAAAGGAATTTAAGGAGAGAGAGAGTAAAATAAGAAAAAATTAAAGAGAACTTTAGAAACTAAAATAATTCTAGGGGATATTATAAATAAATTTTCATATATATGTAAAAAATAATTAAAAATAACTATTATAATAAAGTAGGCAGGGCCAAGTGCCCCCTTTGGACATAAACTGGCTCCGCTCCTGCCTCTAACTGTATGATGAAAATATGACCACGTTAGTCTTCTCTCAACTTTGTTTTTTTGATTTGATTGTTGTGTTCAAATTGTTTTAAGCATTTTTTTGACTGTGATTTTACTGAACTAGTTTCGAAAATCCATCAACCAAAATAATTTGTAAATTGTTATATGTTCTGTTGCAACTTGAAAAGTACATATCTTATCATATTTTTTAACAAAAATTTCAGCTTGATTTGACCTAGCACGAATTAAACCAGCCATCAAATGAACCACTGTCCAGTACGAAAAATACTCATGCTTGAGCTTGGTAATAAATCATAATGTGCCAGAATCAATGCAAGTAGTAGCATTTACTTTATGATGTTTGGTTTTTTGGTATACCAAATTTAAAATCAGAATGTAGTTGTGCATTTGAATATTTACCGTGTCTATTTCATAATTAGCAATGTATTTTGAAATTAAGCAATGCTAAAATATTGATATGGCAACAATTTGGACACAATGTACAACATCATACCAACTGTTTTCTGGTGACTACTTGGTGTGACATTGTGATCCACAATATAAAGTACATTATTAGTCGTGTATTTGACATTGTAACAATGTCTAGTCCATACTGTACCAATATATACTTGTGTAGTAATTTTGATGAAACTCAAATAACTATATCCAAACATAACTTTTTTATTTTTTGTTTTTTGTTTTTGCTCAAATCCAAGTTACAGAAAATTCTCATATGCAACTTTTCAACTCAAGAAGTAGCTGCAGGTTTGAAGAACCACTTCTCTCAACTTAATCAACGATTTGAAGTGCTCTTCTTGGGTATTCTTCATCAACCAGCGTGCATTTATATACACGAAGCTTCACATTCCCCTCCACCCCAGCTTGCACAGCACTTATTTGTCCTTTGCTTTTCTGGCCTTGATGTTCCCCTTCTCCCCAGCCCCAAGAAACTACGTGCTCCGGAATGGGATTCTGAAATCATTTCAGCTATGCATTCAAGATCCATAGCAAAACAACAATAATGCAATCTAGAGGCAGAAATATGTCCAAAAATCAATATCCACAGTAGGCAATACCTCATTTCATTCAATTCAATAACATCCATCAATCTAATGTATACCGATACAGTGCACACAAGTTCTCAAGTCTGACGGGCTCACAAGCCACGGATGTGAATCACACTAGTGAATCTGAGGGTTCAGTTGTTCAGCAAAAAAATAATTTGTATTAAAAGCATAGAAATAAGTTAAAATAACACATTGGATCATCGAGAAAATAAAATTCACATATTTTAAGGACGGAAGACATGTTGATAAAACAAAGCTGTTGCCATTCTATAATGACATTTAGATCAGGGAATTTCAAGGGAGTAAAATATTATGTCATTCCTATAAAACCAAAAAATTGTATGTTACTAAATTAAAAAGTGACCTTTTTCATTTTATTTACTTCACTTGCTAAGCAATGATTGCAATCACAACGACTGAGTCTGAATCTGCGGTCTCATCCGCAACTTTAAACTGTGTTAGCAAGTAATAATGATAACTTTCCTCTCTCTTTCAGTCATAATATTGCCTAATATTAATTCGCGGTATCGGTCGCGGTCGCGGTGTAATGGACTTGGACAAAATCAGTGTAAAATGGCCAATACTGGTCGCGTATCGGACTTTTAAAAGGGTTGCGTATCAGCCGATACGTCAAGTATTGAACGATACAGCGAACTATGGTGTGGACATAAAACCAGTAACAGGACATTAACTAGGCGTGGTTACCTTGTACAGGGCGATGGGAGAAAAAATTAGAGACAAAACTGACCTTTGGAATTATTTTGCACCAAGCAGACTCGAAACTGCATTCCCACACTTGCCACCGAAAAGACGCCTCATCCATTCAATTGAATTCTTTTGCTCATGGTGAGAATTCCTTCTGCTGTAGTAAACAAATTAAGTATAAGTTTATAAAAGCTGCAAGGGGAGGGGAGGGGAGGGGAGGGGAGGGAACAATGAACAACAAATAATAGCAGTAGAAAGAAATAAAATTGTATTAGACGAACAAAATAACAGAAACTTTAGAATCTTCGACTTTGTTCAATGACTGATCTATGAAATTTATTCATTTAGGAACCACTATAAGCTCCACCAGGTAACAAGTATTTGGGTTTAAATCATCCTTTTGAAGTACTTTGAGATGACACTATTTAACAAAATTCGGTTCTTTCTTAGTCTTGATATGGAAGTTTCTTCTTGCTTCCTCACACTACATACAGGAAACCAATCTATCATGACAATTGACATCCTCGGCAAATAAAATCAACAAGAGCCATTATGCGGTCGTATCTGAGTATATCAAGCATTTCAATATATATAAAAAAGTAGCAAAAAAAAAAAAAAAGGGAAAGAAAAGTGAAAAATTTAATCTAAACCACTCCACGGTCCACCCTCATGTAATTAACCTCTTTTGGTTAACCCAAAAAAATGGGATAGATCTATGAGAAATGTCATTCAGTTAGATATGGTAGATTAAAATGGGACACTAAAAGAATTGACTATTGAGCCTAATGAGGTAGGAAACTCTCAAGTACGGTTCTAAAGGAAGGAATTGACCTGCCTATTCCGACTGGGGAGAACAAGCCCTTTCTATAAGTTAATGGCTTTAGTAAGAAACCAAAATAAGTAACACACCAAATTAGACTTTGTTCTGTTCCCTAAACAGGTAACTCCTAACCAACTCGGCTGCAACTAGACACATTTTTAGTTCCTATAACTTACTCAACCGTTGAAAAGCAATATCATATAATTTAGTGACATATGCATCTTATTGCCAATACCCAACCTAAAACTCCTCCCAAGGGCGTAGTTGTTGGAGGCATGCATTTCTTTGAGAAGTCGTAATTCAAAATCATATAAAGGCTTAGGTTAGTCAAATGTGATAATTTCAGGGAGATTGCGGAAGGAGTATGTCTGCAAAATAAAACAGGATGAAAATATGAAGCACTTTAGGACAAGATGGCATCTCTATTGAGGCTTGGAAGTGTTCAGGTGATGATAACAAGTCTTGGTTGACAAAATTGTTCACTAAGAAAATGCCAAACGAGTAGCCTGGAATTATTTCAAAACCTATATACGAAAGTAAAGGGAATATTTAAAGTTGTACAAACTATGGTAGGATTAAATTATGAGTCATACTATGAAAATTTGAAACAGATTAAACAAGATGGATGTGAAACTATAATGTTGAACAATCAATTTGAAATTATATCGGGGAATTCTACAACGGAAGCTACTTACAAAGGAGACTAGTGGAAAGATGTAGAGAGACAGAAATATTTTTCCTACGGTTTTTACAGATGCACATGATAGAATCCCTAGAGATATGATGTGTGTTAGGAGGGTATTTTCCTAGTGGGAGTGGCCTTAGAGGTAGAGGAGCTTTCTTGATATGATTTGCTCGTGTGGATTGTTCGAGGGGGACAGAGATGGCGCGACAAGAAATAAGAAAGACTTTTGACTGGTTCCTCCCCCCAGCACAATAGTGGTCTGATTAAGAGGTCCATCAGCAACAAACTTGCCTCTGTTAAGCTCCTCAAAGCAATTTTAGGATTATTGTTACCATCAGCAAAATCTAGAACTTAGTGCATCGTAGAATAAAAGAAACAAATCAAAAGTTTCTGAGAGCTTACCCATGAAGATTAAGAGGCACAAAACAGCATTCCCGTTCTCAACTCACCATACTTAGGTTTGGATGCACTTCTCTAGCCTTTGCATGATGGGCTGAAAGAACATATTACCTCCCAGACCAAACAAACTGACAATGTCAAATCATTCGGAATATTACAAGTCTAGCTTTAGAACTAGGAAAATCACTCACAAAAGCATAATAAAAGACACCAGGTTATTCAATCATTTCCCCCACAAATAGGCTCATGGACTAGACAACCCATATAGTTAGTTTGTAAGCACAATTTAATAGTCCGTCCATTGGTAAAGCTTCTTACCAGTAAGCATCCTAGAGTTGTTTGCTTTTTCCCTGGAAATAGCTTGTCTCATCCGCCACTAAACATGCATTCACAGCTTATATTGCCTCTCGGGATTGAATATCACTGCTCCATAGAGAAGCCCAATGCTTCTTTCCTGCAACATATGCAGCCAGAATAACGGATGACAAAATGTATAGTGACTGAATAAGGAGTTGCAACCTTAATCACAAGTACCAATAGAGACAATAAGTCTCCAGTAGTAAATAGCCACAGAAATATATGTTGGAAGCTAACAATAGTAACTTTTGGAGTGGAAAAAACTAAGTAATAAGCATTTGTGCAATTCAAACTGCTTTTATTGCATATTCTTGATAAACCAACGTTTGTTTATACAAGAAATAGGTTCACATTCCCCTCTCACCTCAGCACTGCCTCTATTTGTCTTTTTGTCTTTTGGCCTTAGACTTTCCCCTTCCCCCAGCTCCAAGAACCTACATGTGAAATCATTTCAGCTAAGCATTCAAGCTCCATAGCAACACAATAATAATGCAATCTACAGTAAATCCAAATATCTAAATCTACAGTAAACAGCAACTCATTTCATCCAAATTAATACACAGATCTCTCAAAATTATACAGATACTCTATTATAACTTACATGTCATATGAAGCTATACATACATTTCTAACAAGTCAACTGCATTTAAACCTATAGGAAAAAAAAGAAAAAAGTGGAAGAACTGAGTAGTAAACATTAGTGGCAATTACTCACTCCCTAAAATCAGTAAAGAGTGAGTGTACCTTTACATGTTGATATGGTGAGTTCCGGTAGAAATTAAAGAACTGCATTTGGTTTTCCATCGTGATTGATGTAAATAGTACTGTTTTAATAGCCAGTCAAGCAAAAAATACTTAGATTGCCTGTTATATGGCAAGTACATAATAATATTTTAATTCTTCTAATCAGTATTATGGTCTGCTTTGTCTATGTACATAGTTTCATTATCTCTTACAGGCAAATTTGTAATGCCATGAAAACTGGAGCAAATATTGTCCCAAGTGTGTTACTCCCTGCCTTGAATCAGTTATCCTAATCATTTTCTTTCTCTTCCAAAATTTTGCACAATCTTTTCCCAACAATTTAGAGAATGATAATTCCATTTTGTAAGATGGATTTTTTATTTTTTTTTTTCCATAAATTATAAAGTAACCAGAGTAGGAAAAATGTAAAAATTTCACAAATTGATTCATAAAAGTTACAAAAACTTAAGCTAATAAAATGTCTCACCTTCAAGAGTAAACACATACGAACAGGAAAAAGAAGAATGTAAAACAAATGTGCTCCATGACACACGTGGAAACTGAACACTAGACATTTCCTGATAAGATCAGAACACAGAGAGAGAGAGAGAGAGAGAGACGTAGGAAAAAAGAAGTACAAGAGAGGCTTATTACTAAGTTGTAGTTGCAACACGTAGAATGAAATGTGCAATCTTGTTTATTTATAGCAATGAGTCATCCATCTAGTAGTGTGTACCTGTCCCATAAAAAAAATCAATTGAACATAGATAAAGAGAGTGACAATGAACAAGAACAAGATGGAGTCTTGTGGTCTTACAAAAATACAGATCAGAAAGGATTTACCTTGTATGTCATTCCCCTTTTAACAGAAACATTTGGGATGTGAGCAATCTTTGTCCAATCTTCCCCTGTTTCTTTCTGGCATGTATTGTGTAAAACATCAGCGTACGATGTAATTCTCGGAAAATTTTCTGAGGCAACATAAGAATTTGGTCTTCGTAGATGTGAAACAGATCATTCAGTATTTCATCAACATACCAAAACATGTTACATTTTTCTTGCAGTATTTGTGGATGACATCATTATCACCTGAGATGACTTTGTGGGCATTGCTAAGTTGAAATTGTTTCTACAACATCGATTTCAGACTAAAGACTTGGGTAAACGCACACATTTTTTAGGTATTGAAGTTGCTCGATCTAAGAAAGGTATATCTCAAAGGAAGTATGTGCTGGACTTATTGGAGGAAACATATTTGCTATGTGGTCGTTCAGTTGATGTGCCTATGGATTCAAATACTAAACTCTTGGCTGATGAGGGAGATTTATTTGATGACCCTGGTAGATACCGTCGCCTGGTTGGAAAACTAATTTCTCTTATCATTACTCGACTTGATATCTCGTATGTAGTTAGTGTAGTGAGTCAATTCATGGGTGCTCCTAGAGTACCACATTGGAATGTTGTTCTTCGGATTATCCGATATCTTAAGCAAGCCCCAGGTCTCGGGTTGTTATATAAACCAAATGGACACCTTAAGGTGGAAGGTTTTAAGATGTTGATTAGGCTGGTTCTCCCATAGATAGAAAATCCACTACAGGATATTGCACCTTCTTAAGTAGTAATTTGGTAACATGGAGGAGTAAGAAGCAGACAGTGGTAGCTCGTTCCAGTGCTGAAGCTGAGTATAGGGCGATGGCCCACACCTCTAGTGAGTTAACATGGCTACAACATTTTCTTAAAGAACTTGGCTTGATAGTCAAGACCCCTCTTCCGTTGTTTTGTGATAACCAATCAGCTGTCCACATTGCACCCAATCCAGTGTTTCATGAAAGAACCAAACATATTGAAGTTGACTGTCACTTTATCTGAGATAAGATATTGAGTGGAGACATCTCTACACCATTTGTTAAATCCGAAGATCAACTTGCTGATATGTTTACTAAAGCTTGAAGTTTATTTGTTCCAAGTTGGGATTATATGATATATACTCACCAGCTGAGTGTAAGAATGTATATAGGCGTATTTATTATTTCTTAGAAGGGCATGTTGGTCATTTTCCTTGTAATAAATTGTTATATAAAATAAGTGAGAGAGGGCCGGCTGTGAAACTCTCATAACAATATTTTCAGATATGATACACAATGTTTCTACTTCTCTGTAAATCCTAAAATCAACAATATAGAAGGCTTAGGTTAGAAAATATGGTAATTTTTTAGGAAGATTGCAGAAGGATTGGGTGTGCAAAATAAAACAAGGCGAAATTATGAAGCACTTTAGGACAAGATGGCATCTTTATCGAGGTTTGGAAGTGTTCAGGTGATGATAACAAGTCTTGGTTGACAAAATTGTTCACTAAGAAAATGCCAAATGAGTATCCTGGAAGTATTTCAATACCTATATATGAAAGTAACGGGGATATTTTTGAAGTTGTAAAAAAACTATGGTAGGATTAAATTATGAGTCATACAATGAAAATTTGAAACAGATTAAACAAGTAAGACGTGAAACTATAATGTTGAACAATCACTTTGAATTTATATCGGGGAATTCTACGATGGAAGCTACTTACAAAGGAGACCAGTGGAAAGATATAGAGAGAGAGATTTTTCCTACGGTTTTTACAAAAGCATATGATAGAATCCCTAGAGATATGATGTGGGTTTTAGAAGGAGGGTATTTTCCTAGTGAGAGGGGCCTTAGAGGTAGTGGAGCTTTCTTGATATGATTTGCTCGTGTGGATTATTCGATGGGGACAGAGACCGTGCGACAAGAAATAAGAAAGACTTTGACTGGTTCCTCCCATCAGCACATTATTGGTCTGATTAAGAAGTCCATCAGCAATAGACTTGCGTTAAGCTACTCAATGCCTTCATCCTTAGACAGACCGGGGATTAGTGGCCCACGGTCAAGGTGAGAGGAGGCTCCTGCTGCGAGGTGATCCAGGTCAGCAGACAGTCGAGGTGTAATTATTGATATAGAGCAGTGAAAATGATTATCCAGTATAAGTACGCCACATGGCCAAAGAATCTGAATCATCCCAGAAAAAGTGATTCCTTTCGAAATCGGTAAATAAAAGGCTCCAAGATGCTGCATCCTTTTCAGCTTGCTTCCCCAAATATTTATGGAAATCGGTCATCAGCATTAAGCCCAAATCTTTTGTTTTATCTATCGAGGAACTAACAAAAATGCATCCAGCATACCAATATGCAATTTGTTAATGATTTTATTTTAATTCCGAAGAGAAACTCTAAACTGAAAGAGGGGTTTAAGATAAGTCAAAAGCTGAAATATTTATGTAACGTTAGTTTAGCAAAACTGAAAATACAAGTGGGATGAAGTATGGGGTCAAGCACATTTTTTATACGTTGATACCTTCCGCTTGAAAAAGCTTCAACTTAATTAGCTTGGGCATCCACGCTGGGAAAGAGAGAGATAGTTTGATTATTCATAAGTCATCCAGCATTCTCTGAATTTGCAAGGAAGGTGGAGGGAAATGAGAAGAAAATAGGACATCATTCATCAAGTGATTTTCATCATTAAATTACTTTAAAAACTGTCCATAGATTGCATTAGCACACAATTAGTGAACATGAATGTGAATGTTGACAACCTGATTAATGGAACACCATGTAAATGAGCAATAAAATTGTGGAAAAAATATGAAGGCAATTTTAGGATTATTGTTACATTAGCAAAATCTAGAACTTAGTGCATCATAGAATAAAATTAAGGAACAAATCAAAAGTTGCTGAGAGCTTACCCATGAAGATTCTGAGGCACAAAACAGCATTCCCGTTCTCAACTCACCATACTTGGGGTTTGGATGCACTTCTCTAGCCTTTGCACGATGGGCGGAAAGAACATATTACGTCCCTGACCAAACTGATATTGTCAAACCACTCGGAATATTACAAGTCTAGCTTTAGAACTAGGAAAATCACTCACATGAGCACAATAAAAAGACACCAGGTTATTCAATCATTTCCCCCATATATAAAGGCTCATGGACTAGACAAGCCATATAGTTAGTTGTAAAGCACAATTTAAAAGTCCGTTCATTGCTAAAGTTTCTTTCTTTCTTTTTTTTTTTCTTTTTTTTTTCTTGATAAGTATTCATTGGTAAAGTTTCTTACTAGTAATCATCCTAGAGTTGTTTGCAATTGCCCTGGAAATATCTTGTCTCAGCCGCCGCTAAACATACGTTTATATTGCCTCTCGGGATCAAATATCACTGCTCCATAGAGAAGCCCAATGCTTCCTTCCTGCGACAGATGCAGTCAGAAAAATGGATGACAAAATGTATAGTGATTGATTCAGGAATTGCAACCTTAATCGCAAGTACCAATAGAGACAATAAGTTTCCAGTAGTAAATAGCCACAGAAATATATTTTGGAAGCTAACTATAGTAACTTTTGGAGTGGAAGAAACTAAGTAGTAAACATTAGTGGCAATTCAAACTGCTTTCTTGCGTATTCTTGATAAACCAGCATTTGTTAGTTCATAGACATAGGTTCACATTCCCCTCGCACCTCAGCGCTGCCTCTGTTTGTCTTTTGTTTTTTGGCCTTAAACTTTCCCCTTCCCCCCAGCTCCAAGAACCTACATGCAAAATCATTTCATTTCAGCTAAGCATTCAAGCTCCATAGCAATACAACAATAATGCAATCTAGATACCGAAAATGTCCAAATATCAATATCAACAATAAACAACAAGTCATTTTCATTCAATTTAATACACAGAGCTCTCAAAAGTTCACATTTCTTTTTATAGCTTTATAACATACATATCATATGAAGCTATACATACATTTCTAACAAGTCAACTGCATTCAAAACTAGAGGACAAAAAAAGAAGAAAATAGTGGAAGAAACTAAATAGTAAACATTGGTGGCAATTACCCACTCCCTAAAGTCAGTAAAGAGTGTGAGACTCTTGGTGCACCTTTATATGTTGTTGATATGGCGAGTTCAGGTAGAAACTAAAGAAGAACTTAAGTTGGTTTTCCATCAAGATTGATGTTAAGTAGTACTGTTTTATGTACTTGCCTGTTAAATGGCAAGTACATAATAATCTTCTAATTCGTCTAATCAGTATTATGGTCTGTTTTTGTTAGTGCATGATGCCAGTAGGCACAATCTACAGACCTAGTTTCACTATATCTCATAGGCAAATTTGTCATAACCTAATACATACCGTGAAAACTGGAGTGAATATTGTTCTAATAAGTGTATTACTACCAGTCTTAAAACAGTTATCCTAATCATTTTTTCCAACAATTGAGTGAATGATAATTCCATTTTTCATTTCGTATGATGGAATTTTTCCCCTTAAATTATAAAATTACCAAAGTAAGAAATATGTAAAAATTTCACAAATTATTTCATAAAAGTTACAAAAATAATAATGCTAATATAATGTCTCACCTTTAAGATTAAACACATACGTAAAGGAAAAATAAGAAGACTGTAAAGCAAATGTGCCCCATAACACATGCAAAACCGAACACTCGACATTTCCTGATAAGTAAAAAAGAATAAAGCACTCGGACCTTTCCTGATAAGATAAAAAAGGATAAATAAAATCAACAACAAAAATATTATATTTTTATTATAAAATAGGTGTTAAAGAGTATAAAATCAACAACAAAAAGAAAAAGAAAAAGAAAAAACTGAAGAGGAGAGGAAGAAAGAAGTAAAAGATAAGAGAGGATAATTACTAAGTTGTTGTAGTTGCAATTTGTGGAATGAAATGTGCAATCTTGTTTTCTTATAGCAACGACTCATAATTGTCTAATAACCATCATTGTCTTAGAGCCAATCTAAGTTGTGTACCTGTCCCATAAAAAAACCAACTGAAATAAATAAAGCCACAATGATGAAAAAGAGAGAAGAATAAGATGGAGTTCTATGGGGTTAAAAAATTCAGATCAGAAAGGATTTACCCTGTACGTTAGAACCCTGGTGAAATATGAACGTATGGGATGTGAGCAATCTTTGGCCAATCTTCCCCTGTTTCTTTCAGGCATCTATCATACAAAACTTGAGCGCAAGATGTAATTTTGAGTTGTTGTAATGCAGTGAGCCCATGCAATCCTTTGGGTAGTGATGTCAATTTGGGGTTGTAGTAAATGGAAAGTCGTTCAAGTGATGTGAGGTTGTCTATCCACTCCGGCAAAGCCATAAAATTGTCACAGCATTCAATATCTAGTTGTTGCAGAGTGGTAACATGTTGAAGCCCCGCAGGAAGAGATATCAACTTTGGAACACGTCTGAAATAGAGATCCGTCAGGCTCTTGAGGCCTTGAAATTGCATGCCGTCGTCATCATCTAACAGATCAAGCTCTTGGCAGTATTGAATAGACAAGGAATTGAGTGCGGTGAGATGTCGCAGTGTTCCTGACAGAGAGGTTAGTTTTGGACAATAAGAAATCACAAGCTTCTGGAGAGAAGTGAGGCTTCGAAATGACTCCTCAGGCAGAGTTACTAGATCCTCAATTACTATTAAAGACAGTGACTTTAATTTGAAAAGAGGAAGAAGCAAAGAAGATGAAGAGGACGACGTTGCGACTGTTGTTGGGGATACCATCATCATTAACTGTTGTTGTACTAGATTCTTATTGACCACATAGAGAACTAGAGTTTCAAGATATGGTTGCAGCAGAGGCACCGATGCCAGATTAGGACATTCATCAATGGTTAATTTTGAAAGAGAAGGAAACGATGGGAGCTGATGATGTTTCCGTTGGGCTGGTGACGAAGTTGTTGTTGTTGTTGCTTCTTCTTCTGCTTCAGTACTCCTCCACCACCCCTTCAATTTAGGCAAGTTAGAGAGTTCGAGTTCTTTCAGTGATGGGAAGAATTTTGATGTTGGTGTTGATTCCCTTCTTCTTGCTGCCGCTCCACTCAATGAGGAGGGTAAAGAATTTTGATGTTGGTGTTGGTTCTCTTCGTGACCGTGGCCAGTACTATTGTCTATGTAGTTTAGGGATTCCATCTCACAAACACTAAGAAATTGGAGAGAAGGAAGTTGCCCAAATGGTGGAAGATGTTTCCATCCTTTACACTTGGACATATAAATTCTGACTAGATGTGGGAGGGATAAGCCAATTTTGATCACCATCATCCAACTTGGAAAACTCACTCCCCAATAATAAATTATTTCCAGCTCCTTTAGATTCGGGTGCGGACGTAGTGCTTCCAACAATAACTCCTCCCCATCATCTTCTTTCTCTCTCCGAAAATCTAATCTCCAGATTAGGCCATTTGCTGATGCTTTTTTTAGACACATGCTGCCAGATGAGTCACAGCGTCCAAGTACAACCTTTAACTTTCCCCGTAAATTGTTTAGGCATTGCAATTCATTGAGTTGGCTATTTGAGTCTGCTACAAACAATGTTAACGTCAAAAGACACGTCAACTGACTGAATCCATTAGGCATGCGAATCAAGGCATCATTTTTGTCTAGCTCAAGATGTCTAAGACTCACCAATTTTGTAAAATTACTTGGCAATTCTTCAAGACAGGAACACTGATTGAGTTTTAAGGTCTGCAAATTTTGCAACTTGGTTATAAAATTTGGCAGTGTCTTGATATGATTTTCACTGAGATCAAGATATCTTAAATGTTTCAGCTTGCTTATGTAACTCGGCACAATCTCAATCCCCACAGAATGCAGATCCAATACACGTAACCTTTTAAAAGTTGAAAGAATCCTTCCAGAAGCTACATTGCTGAAAATTTTGATATTTTTAGCATTCAAAAAAAATGTTCGTAACTTGTTAGCTCTAACCAAGCGGGATGAATTTACACCGGAATCAAGTGACACGTGACGAGTTCTTTCATTAACATTTTCTACATTCAAATTCGCCGTGAAGAATTTGGCCTTCGCAACCAATTGCGCAAGGTCATGGACAAGATCATGCATTTTGCAACTTATTACATCACCCCATTCATCTCTTTGGACATCTTGAAAAAGGGACCTCCTAAGTAAATCCATAAAATACGAATCACCAACATCCTCCAATTGCTGATTTTCATACACAGGCCGAATGAATCCCTCTGCCATCCACAATTGGATTAATTTTTGCTTATTAATTGTTTGATCTTTCAAATATAAGGAGCAGAACGCAAAGCATCTCTTCAAATCCGAAGGAAGGTAATCATAACTGAACTTTAGTATTGGAAAAATAACATCCTCTTCTTCAGCTATTTTTGACAAATCATTCTTTTTAAAAAGCAACCACTCATCATCTGTATCTTTAGTGTATAGTAGGCTTCCTATAGCCCTTATGGCAAGTGGGACTCCTTTACACTTCTGAACAATTTCCTTGCCGATTGTTACTTGAAATGTATTCTCTGACTCTTTCCCTTGTTTGAATGCCATTTTCTCAAATAAAGACCAAGAGTCCTCCTTAGACAAGCCTTTTATAAAATATGGCGAATTTGTCCCTGTAACATTTGCAACCAACTCAGAACGAGTAGTTATTAAAATCTTACTTCCTCTAGCACCACCCATCAGCAAATCTACCAGTTTTAACCATTTGTCACGGTTCTCATTCCACACATCATCCAACACAAGTAAATATTTCTTTCCATTAATTTCTTTACTAAGCAATTCTTGCAATTTATCCATCAAAAGATTTTCAGGCGTTTCGCCTGTTGCAGACCCTATGATCTTTTCTGCAATGAGCTTCACATCAAAGATGTCGGACACGCACACCCACATCTTAAGATCAAAATGTTTAATGACCCTCTCGTCATTGTATACTAATTGTGCAAGTGTGGTCTTTCCTAGTCCCCCAATTCCAAGTAATGCAACAACTGATACATTCTGATCTTGAATGTTGCTTTCCAATAAAAGTTGTACAATTTCCATTTTATCAACATCCCTCCCAATAAAATTTTCTGCATGAACAAGAGAGTGAGTCTCCTCCCTCTTAGTATTCTCAACTCGCATATGATTTATAGGCAGTTCAGTGAGGTGAAACTTTTTCCTATCTTCGGCAATTGCATCTAGTCTCTCCCTAATGGCCTTAATCTCATGAGCCAACTTACTACTGAAAGGAAGCTTGTTTGAGCTTGAGAAAAAATTGCGTACCTTCATCAGCCTTGTGTTCTGAGTTATAACCTGGTGGTGGAGAACTTGGGTGGAAAAGTCATCGAGCAAGTCATCAGCATCATGAAATGCATCATTGAGTTTTTCGAGCCAGTCTTCAACCTCATGGTTTGTGGCTTGTTGCTCCTCTGCATCAAGAAGTACTGCTCTGATTGTGGAAACCGTGTTTCGGATTTTTTCAAGTTCATCCTTCATGCCCCACACAAGTCCCATCTCTTGGAGAAGCATCGAACCCAACTTCTTCAGGATTTCAGTAACAAGTGCGTCTGCCATTTCTTTGGAAGAGATGCTTAATGGTTTGTTTGTGGAGCTGTAGAATGAGGTCTTGAGGAAATTGAAAGGTTTGAGAATTTGAGATGCTCAACAATTCAAAATTGATTGAATCAACCATGTGTGCTATTAGAGCCCACAAGTATTGACAATGTGTGTAGTTGACTGTTCGAGAACCATGTGGTGCTATTGATATAAGCACACAAAATTGACATCCTACTCACATCCATCATTGAGCATTTAGCTGTGGTCATGATAAATGAGAGCCCACAAGAATTGATAATCAGTGGTGGGGAACCAATCATTCATTTTTCTTTTTGGCAAGTGAGAAACTGAAAAAAAAAAAAAAAAAAAAAAAAAAAAAAAAAAAAAAAAAAAAAAAACCCTTATGAAAATTAAGACCAACAACATAACCCAATATAAATCTGGGATCACTAAATTTGGAAATTTGGCTTATTCTGGTATCCTTCACTTTCACAGCAACCAAACAAGGTAATGAAATTGAATGAAAAAGAAATTCAGATCAAACCAAATACAAGTCCCGACAATTGCACTCATTGACCTGATCTCACCGACTCCAAACCACTTCACTCCGCATATTCCAAATAGGCGATCTGAGAAATTGCAGACATCGGCGACGATGTGAAAATAGTATTCGACCTTGCAGAGGTCGTGGATCAACGTTTGACTAAACGACGTTTAGTTTTTTTGAGAACAAAACTTGAGCAAAACGGTGACGTCTTGATCTAATTGAATCCAATCTATCTACAGCTGAGTTGGCGCAAACTTGACCGCTTATAAAGCAACGGAAATAAGCTGATAAAGCTCACAAGATGTTCAAAATTGGAGTGCATTAAAGCAGAAAATGATGAACCCAAAAGGGCCGTCCTTTTAGCCCTTATCTGAAAATACCTCCCATCAGCATTAGTGAATCGAGGGGTACCAAAGGACCAAATGGTCCAACGGTGTCATTTTTGAATTCATTTTGTAATCTGTGTTCGTTTAAAATATTTTAATTGTTTGATATTTTTTCGGATTGGGCCTGAGCCTGATCAACCTGTGTTTCGGATCCGAGGGGTATCACAGTAACCGCGTTCTAAGCAGCTCCTCTGACTCTGTTGTCTGTTCAGGTCGGCCATGAATTGCATTTATAATCCGAATGGGCTGAGTGCTGTGGTGACTCAGCTTTTGAGTTCTCTTGACCTGCTCAGCCGGTCGGTTCTGCTCTTATACCGGACCTTGAACATGTCCTGTAAATTCCCCCTTTGTGATCAGCATCTCCACTTGCCTCCTTAGGTTCCTACATTCATTAGTCTGATGATCAAAGTCACTATGGAAAGCGCAATGTTTAGATTGATCCCTCTGTTCAAGAGGTTGTCTGATTGGTAAGGGAGGGCGAAACTTATCTTTGTTCTCTTGATACAGCCTTGCCAGAGTAACTTTGAGTGGAGTAACTAACTCTTTCTCTCTGGGCCTTTTCTTGGCCTTCCAGGAGGTTTGACGTTATGGCTGAGCTTGTTTTTGCCGAATCTTGGCTTTGGACTTCTCCTCTATTGAGATAATTGATGTCTTCCTTGCATTAGCTGTCTCTTCTTCTTTCAGACGCACAAAACCGTCAGCTCTCTAGTTCAACTCGTCCATGGTCTTCGACGTATTCACCACCAGGCTTATGTGGAACGATGTCTCGTCAGTTCATTGCAAGTTTAAACGCTTGGACCGTTGTGGACGGATGACATTCCATTACCATGCTTTTGACAAGGTTGAACCTAATGAAGAAAGCTTGGAGTTGTTCATCTTCATGCTGCTTCATTGTAAAGAGGCTTGAAACATCCTTGGCCGGGCATTTATTCCTATAATACTGGCTTATGAACTTATCGCACAAGTCCTGGAAACTAGCAATTGAACCTTGAGCCAGATTCTTAAACCAATTGAGGGCTAGCCCAGCCAAACTTGTAGGGAAGCACTTGCACATCAAAGGATCATTGTTAGTATTCAAAGCCATTTTCAACTGAATGTGGTAGATGTGATCGATCGAGTCGGTTGTTCCATCAAATAAAATGAAGATCGGTATAGAAAACTTCCTCGGATTTGGAGCATTTAGGATTTCGTCAGTGAATAGAGATTTAACCGTTCTTGCTGATGAACGGAGTGCTTCGTTCTCCCTTGAGAACCGTGATAGAACTCTATAATCTACAGATCTCCTTTCTGAACTTCTATAATCAAACGTTGCCATTGAAGGCCGATAAGGTGGATCAAACGATCTGTCCTCCGCAAACTCACTTTGCCATAGTGATGCAACCCTATGATCATACGCTGGCGCTTCTTCTCGCATGATCCGTTCGTGATGTGGATCCAAATGAATAGATCCCTCTCGATCCTCTACCTGACGGACATTTGGAGGTAAATCGCTTACTAAAACTTCTTCATGATGAGGATCCACGCGATTAATACCTTCTGAATCACCTTAATGAACAGCATTGAACAGCAAGACTCCCTCTCGTACCGGAGGTGGCCTCGGAATAGTAGGAGCTTCACGACGCTCCATTCCAACTCGTAATTCTGCATTCTCTTTTCTCAAGGCTTTGATCATGCTCATCAACTCATCGAGCTTCGACTGCTAGCCATTCTCCAAGGGATTTGAGCTCTCTCCTCCGATCATCATTCCTGATCGGAGCAAAGTCATTAACCGCGGATTTCTTGATCAGATCTGAGCTTTTCTAATGCAAACGCACCAGATCTGGACTCAAATTAGTTGAATTCTGTCCATTATTGGCCGGATTTGAATTACTTCAGCAACGAGCTCGCCGAATTCGGCAATCTCAACAAGTCTCAACTGTGTAGCTCACTGGAACAAACACAGATCATATCTGCGTAAATCAGACTTCAATCTCTCAAAATCAACTGGAACTGAGATTCAACAAGACAAATCACAATTTCATCAATCTTGATTCAGCTTTCAGAGATCAAGCGCCTTCTTCACGAATTACTCTGAATCGAATCGATTTGGATCAATATCAATCAATCCTCATCGTTCTTCCCATAGACGGTGCCAATTGAAGATACATAGAAATTTTCCCAATTTAGAAAGAGAAATTATACACTTTAAACAATTTTTTTCCACCCCTTTTCCCTCTTCTTTCCGTCTATTTATAGACGGTTACAACCACTCCTGAAGCTTTCTAACTAATTTTCTTATAATGGGCTGGCCTTACTTACTTTCTTTTTGTTCAGGCCTAACTCCTTTCATCCTACTGCGAGTTTCTCTACAGTCCTCCTGGACCTGGGCATGCTTGGTGAGGACTTGCTCCATTCTTGTTCCACTTACCTGACCCATTCTCAACAATCTGGGTCTTATCAAGCCCAGGTCACTTTTGGTATCCTCACTCATAAACACTAAGACATTGGAGAGAAGAAAGTTCCTCGTAAATTGTTTAGGCATTGCAATTCATTGACGCAATTCTTCAAGACAGGAACACCGATTGAGTTTTAAGGTCTGCAAATTTTGCAACGTGGTTATAAAATTTAGCAGTGTCTTGATACGATTTTCACTGAGATCAAGATATCTTAAATGTTTCAGCTTGCTTGTGTAACTCGGCACAATCTAAATCCCCACATAATGTAGATTTAATACACGTAATTTTTTAAAAGTTTAAAGAAACCTTCCAAAAGCCAAAGTAGCCGAAAATTTTGACATTTCTAGCATTCAAAAAAAATGTTGGTAACTTGTTAGCTCTAACCAAGCGGGATGAATTTACACCAGAAACAAGTGACAGATGACAAATGTAATACCCCTAGTTTCCAAAAGGATAGAATGGGAATTTAATTTTGATAATTTTGAGTTTTATTGCATTTTTAATATGTGAGCTATGTGTTTTGTGTTTGTTTAATTAATTTTATTAATATTTGTGTGTATTTAATTTACATGTTAATTGAGATTGATTTAATTATATTATTTGAATTTATTTAAATTGATTGCCTTAGTAATATGTAACTTGGATTTATTACCTGTTTAATTACTATACTTATTGAATTGTTTTATTTAATTAATGTAATGTTTATTTATTTTCTGTATGGTAACTTAGGGTTACAGTTATATTTTTTTTTTGGCTTATATTTCACGTATAGGTGAGCCGCCGTAAGTTAGAACTGAGATAGTTTCATGGGCCGGTTAGGATAGGGATTAGGGCTTAGTCTCTGATTATTCGTGGACTAGGGTATTAATATACACCTATAAATATAAAGCAATACGTGGTTTAGGGTTTGGAGAACAGAATAAACATATGTTCTGTAAACTACAAACAGAGCCCTAAATTGGTAGTGAAAACCAGAAAGTTACAGAGAGAACCGGAGTGGGAGTTTAGGTGGTTCACAAAACAGAATCAAGGATGGAAGTTTGGTGTGTATTACTGGACTGTAGTAGGAGCAGTAAGGGTGGTTTAACACTCAGAGACGTGGAATTAGCTTTGCAAGTCTGGGTTTCAAAGGCAAGTCTCTGTTCTATTCTTTCCCCTTAATTCGTGTTCTGTGCATGCCTGGTTAGACTTCAGGGTTTTAATAAAAGATAAAACGGATTGACACAAACATAATAACATGTTTTCCATGCAGATATAAATTTATTTAATCTCAGTGAGTTAACTGTTTTGCATACTGGTTGATTTTCTGCTATCTGTGTCTTTTACGTTTAAGCCTGTTTTATTGAGATTAGTAACATGATTGGATGCCTTACAATTATTCTGAGAATGAGTTTAATTCCTAGAACAAGATTTTAGAACAGTATTTAATTGCATCAAATTAATCTGAACTAAATCTGTCGTAGCTTGCTTAAAATTGGTTAACAGAGGTGTTGTAGTTGTTGCTTTAGAACTTGTGTTCCTACACATGTTAGGGTTGGATCTCAGTGGTTTAAACTTGTTTAGGACTAATATTGAACCTAGAATAAGAATTAGAACATACCACAGAGGCTCTGTAATCACCGGAGTTGGAGAAGAAGACGCAAAAACAGACGACGGCATCTAAGAGAGGAAGAGCAAGTTCCTCCTACTCTTAGAGCCGGCTCCCAAGGATGGGGGAGCCGGCTCTTGCAGCCCTAGAGCCGGCTCTTGGAGCCTAGAGCCGGCTCTCCCTTTAAATAGAGCAGGCTCTCAAATTTTGGAGCCTGCTCTTGCCCAGAAATTGCATTACTGTGTGATTTTGTGCGTGGTTTTGACTGTGCAGTGTATTAGGACTTCGTTTAAATTATTCTAAACACTGTGTGGAACTATTTTAAACCTAAACTTAGTCTTTAGGAACATTAATTTAAACTGGGATTAATTGAGGGATAAATACAAAGTCTAAGGGAAATTTAGTGTAGTGTACACTGTTGTATCCACTAGAACTTAACAAGTCGTATGGATTATTTAATTGGGTAAAATTGTATTTTTCCACAGTGTTAAGTATGGTGAATTAATTAGAAATCAACTATACTTGGTTGGGTTTAATTGATACTCAAATTCTATTAACTGTATCAATTCATGGATTATATTGGAGGATTTGGTAGGTTTATATACCGGAGCATGGCAAGGTTATTATGTATGATTTAAATATACATATAAATCATATTTCTATAGTATTTGAAGTATTGGGAATTAACTAATTTTTCCTTATGCTTAATTTGGATTTATTTGATACTAAAATGGTACTAAATTGTATCA